GATAGTTATACATATGAAAATCCACTGATTCACTGCACATGTAACTTTGTGATCCTTTATATTTATATGGGGTATTAATGCAGTTGGTGTATCTAGACAACTCAACATGAAGTAAAAAATATTTCAGATTTTTTCTGATTCGTGCACTAAACGCTCATTGCAATCTAGATTTGAAGCTCTAGGTCTGCTAACAATGCATTGCCAGCACGCCTAGTTTTGCTGTCAATCAAAGTTTTGCTGGTCCGGTGGAGTCACAAATTAGGAAATATTGACTAAAGTTATAATTCTGAAACTACAGCCTCAAATCAAATGATGATTCAAATATACCATGTAACAATATCTGCTTTCTAACAAGTGTCACAATAGTTACAGAAACAAACCGCATGAAGATTCCAACCTGTGACGAAAATTATATAACAAATACATGAAGTGAACGATTCACTTATTTTATTAAGCAAACAAGTTCAAATTTAAAAGGATGTTGAAATTATTCAGGCATCAGATAGTAGAGCTGCGACATGAGGTCACAGAATTGATAACAGAAGTCAAAGTTACGGAAACCGTAGACAAGGAATTATCATGACGGAGCAACAAAAAGGTTTCATACGCTGTTATTGAGTTCCAAGTTGAAAATAGTTATAGTCTAACGAAACAAATAGTTATAAATACTGTTCAGACCTTTAATATACCTCTTTTTGCTAACATTACTATTGAATTGATTTATATAACACATTTCTGAAAACATACGTTTCTTATGTTTGATGATACTACCAAGAATTTATATATTTTTGAAATCGAATTAATGGCCTTTTCCATTAGCCAGTAATGTCTCTGAATAAGAATATTTCATAGTTAGAGATACTGATGAACTATTTATTTTAAGGAAATTCATTTCACACAGACTGAAAAGAAATAAAACAGCTTTACCTCAATTCCACACGATTTATTTAAATTATACGATCGGAATTAAATTGTACGACCAGAATCGCAATTTTGACAAGGAATTTTGTGAACGGCATTTGATTTTAATTTCACTTCTAGCGGATGTTTTGTGCGCGTGAATAATGATTTTATCGTTAATGTGTTTTTGGGCTATTTTCATTTTATTATGAAATTAGTTGATGAGTTTGGGCGTCAGATTGTGTATATGCGGTAAAAGATTTTCTGGGCTGTTGTTGCTAATAATTTCCTGGTTTGTTTCCATGATATTTCCATTATAACCAAGAAATTTTCAGCACCAACAGCCTAGAAAATCTACCATTCGATGTTTTACCGCATATCCACAATCTAACGGCCAAACTGATCAAATTATTCCATAATAAAATAAAAATAGTCCAAGAAATACATTACCGATACAATCATTATTTACTCGCGCAAAACATCCGCTAGTGTATATAGGGCAAATATCCCAAAACCTTCATTCAAGGATAATTCCTCATGAAAGTGATTCCCGAAATACCAACAAGACGAAAGGCTCTGCATTAACGTACAAGCCACTAGTCACAATACGAATTACAATGCCACAAAAATTTGAGATCACGCAAATTATTAAACTATCGCTTTTTCCTAGAAATGATTGATATAAAAAAGAGAGAAAATTATATTAACAAAAAATCTGATACAAATAATTCAAGCAACATATATATATATATATATATATATATATATATATATATATATATATATATATATATATATATATATATATATATATATAAATCTCATGGGTTTTTCTGATTAATGGTTCATATTCTGATATCTTGTTAACCAAAAAAATTCACTCTAAATACACAAAATAAATTCATTTTCTTTTCTTTAGTCATAAAACTTCGACCAACGTCCTCAGAAACACCCTTGGAAACATCTGGAAAAATTCCACTTGAAAAGCGGAATTGAGAAATACAGTTAGTGTTGTTGCTTCCTCCAGCTACCAAACACAAGGAATGCAATAATATTCGAATCCAATGCATTTGGGAACACTTGCACTTATTAACGAAACTTAAAAAACGAATGTACTTTCGGACTAACTTCGTAGTAATTGTAAGGAAAATTTTCGATAGTGCCTTGTTGTGTAAACTCTTATTATTGCACTATTTTAGCCCTGAAGAAAGGCTAAAAACATTTTCGGAAAACATTTCCGAAATTTTGAAAAATACTAAAGAGGTGACTGATTTTTCTGTCCTAGACTGCAATCCCAATTAAACACTGAAAATACATATCTACAGTCGTGAAACATTCAACTATATAGTGTACATATATATATATATATATATATATATATATATATATATATATATATATATATATATATATATATATATATATATATATATATATATATGTGCATCTTTATATATATATATATATATATATATATATATATATATATATATATATATATATATATATATATATATATATATATATATATATATATATATATATATATATATATATATATATATATATATATATATATATATATATATATAGTTGAATGTTTAACGACTGTAGATATGTATTTTCAGTGTTTAATTGGGATTGCAGTCTAGGACAGGAAAATCAGTTACCTCTTTAGTATTTTCCAAGTTTCGAAAATGTTTATTTTCTTCTTCAGGGCTAAAATAGTACAAAAATTAACAGTTTATATAGCAATGCGCTATAAAAAGTTTTTTCTTACAATTACTGTGAAGTTAGTCCGAAAGTACATTAGTTTTTTGAATTTTGAAAATAAGTACAAGTGTTCCCAAATGCATTGGGTTGGAACGTTACTGCATTCTACGTGCTAGATAGTTGAAGGAAGCCACGACAATATTTCTCAATTTGGCTTTTCAAGTCGAGTGTTCCCAGATGTTTTTAAGGGCGTTTCTTAAAATGCATAACGTTGGCCGAAGTTTTTTGACTAACGAAAAGAGAATGAATTTGTTTTTTTATGTATTCAGAATGGATTTTTCGGTGAATAGGATATCCGAATATGAGCCATTAATCAGAAGAACCTATGAGATTTATATATATATTGCTTAAATTATCCGTATCAGATTTTTTGTTAATACAATTTCCTGTCTTTTTAATATGAACCATTTCTAGGAAAAGGCGTTTGTTGTAATTTTTTGCGTGATCTAAAATTTTTGTGGCATTGTAATTCATATTATGACCAGTGGCTTGTACGTGTTGGGTTAATGCAGAGGAATTCGTCTTGTTGGTATTTCGGCAATCACTTTTATGAGAAATGATCCTCGAATGAAGATTTTGGGATGTTTGACCTATATATACAGAATCGCAATTTTGACAAGGAATTTTGTAGACGACATTTGATTTGAATTTCAATTCTATGTTTGGAACACCCATGGGAAGCTGTCTTTCTCCAATTATTGCACAATATGTAATGGACGATCTTTTGAATTCATGTATACCTAATCTATCCTTTGAAATACCCTTCCTGAAAAAGTTCGTCGACGATATAATTTGCGCTGTACCCGCAAATAAAATCGACGAAATAGTTGAAACATTCAATTCCTATCACCCCTCGATAAAATTCACCGTCGAAACAGAGAATAACAATAGCATTCCTTTCCTTGATACTCTGGTGATGAGAAAAAATAACAGCATAATGCTAGACTGGTACCAAAAGAACACTCATTCCGGACGTTACATAAATTACCTTTCCTACCATCCATTTAAAACGAAAAAGAATTTCATACTAGAGTTCAAAAGACGTATAAAAAATATTTGTCATCCAGAATTGTATCAGAAAAATATTACAAAATTCAGGGGAATTCTGCTTGATAATAGTCATCCCCCTAAACTGATCGATAAATCATTGAGAGCTTGTAGCAATATAATTGAAACAAATCAGGAAATTATCAGCAACAACAGCCCAGAGAATCTACCATTCGGCGTTCTACCGCATATACACAATCTAACGCCAAAACTGATCAAATTATTCCATAATAAAATAAAAATAGCCCAAAAAAACACATTAACGATACAGTCATTATTTACTCGCACAAAACATCCCATAGAATTGAAATTCAAATAAAATCTTCGTCTACAAAATTCCTTGTCAAAATTGCGATTCTGTATATATAGGTCAAACATCCCAAAATATTCATTCGAGGATCATTTCTCATAAAAGTGATTGTCGAAATACCAACGAGACGAATTCCTCTGCATTAACCCAACACGTACAAGCCACTGGTCATAATATGAATTACAATGCCACAAAAATTTTAGATCACGCAAACAATTACAACAAACGCCTTTTCCTAGAAATGGTTCATATTAAAAAGACAGGAAATTGTATCAACAAAAAATCTGATACAGATAATTTAAGCAATATATATATAAATCTCAAAGGTTCTTCTGATTAATGGCTCATATTCTGATACCCTATTCACCGAAAAATCCATTCTGAATACATAAAAAAACAAATTCATTCTCTTTTCGTTAGTCATAAAACTTCGGCCAACGTTATGCATTTTAAGAAACGCCCTTAAAAACATCTGGGAACACTCGACTTGAAAAGCCAAATTGAGAAATACGGTCATTGTCGTGGCTTCCTTCAACTATCTAGCACGTAGAATGCAGTAACGTTCCAACCCAATGCATTTGGGAACACTTGTACTTATTTTCAAAATTCAAAAAACTAATGTACTTTCGAACTAACTTCACAGTAATTGTAAGAAAAAACTTTTTATAGTGCATTGCTATATAAACTGTTAAATTTGGTACTATTTTAGCCCTGAAGAAGAAAATAAACATTTTCGAAAGCTTGGAAAATACTAAAGAGGTAACTGATTTTCCTGTCCTAGACTGCAATCCCAATTAAACACTGAAAATATATATATATATATATATATATATATATATATATATATATATATATATATAGTGTTTAAAGAGCATCATCTAAAACAATATTTCAAAATAGAATAAATCAAATGTTTTCCATTGCTAATGGTTTAACGCTATAGTTCTCTTCGCTATAAAGTTATAGTTCTCGCACTCGACTAGGATTCGAACCCAGGTCTTCAGGTTTATGCCCCGGTGCTTTTGAACGCTAAGCTACCGAGGTCCCCACTATAAGATGCACCTCCAATTCATATCTAACAACTCTTGTATTTGACATGATAGTCTTCGACGCTCGCATTTTCTTGGATTATTTTTATAGTGAAAATTGAGAATTGAAGTCACATCTTAATGTTTTCGAACTCGAATGGGATTCGAACCCTGGGTTCGAATACAACTTATATATTTATACTTTTTTTCCTATTCAATTTTAAAATTAATAATTGATGAGGCCGATACTTGATGTAAATCGATAAACATAATGAAACAATTGTTAAACTGATTTACACATATATTAAAAATAATACTGCATGACGTACGTTTCGATGAGATTCACCTTTTTTCGAATGCTACGTGCAGACTAATGACAATTTCTCGAATACATACAATATATAAACTAAAATACAGAGAAAACAGGTAGATAACAGGTGGAAGGGATGAATTCATACTGAACTACTATATAGTAAATTAAGTAATTTTGAAAAGATTGAGAAGGGGGCTTGAGGTATGATCGATTTGGCTGTTCAAAAGGTTGCCAGAATATTTGTATTTATTAATTTGAAGTGATTCTAACAATTTAATTTTATCATCATTTTCATCAATTTCAATTATTAGGCTCCGTCTTTGACTGAAAAGGCGGAGCCATGTGCTCACATTCAAAAATAGAAATAAATCAAAATTGCTAATGTGCTTATGAGAAATCAAAAATATAGATATATTGAAATATAAATGAGAGGTAATAATAAAAACTTTTCGAAAGATCACTGACTGAACAATTCTTCATTCGACTAGCTTCGCCTTTCACAGCATTATCAAGAATGAATACATATTACAAAGACAACCTATAAATATTTTGCAGATCGGTTCGGACCACAGAATACACCTTAAATTCTGTCATAGAGGTGGGGTTTCCAAATTAACGTTTTTTACGTGTTATTTTAGCCTAGTTTCAAAACATCTTCCGGCCTGGCCAACATATGACGACTTACATTCTTCATAGTCCAATCTATAAATTCCAGACGTCTTCATTGGCTCGGATTTGGACAATTTGTTATTGAAGATCATTCTATCCAATCTGCTGTAACTTGAAAATGCTACATTAATTGTACAGTAATGAAGATTCTTCATTACTGTGAAAAAGGAATTAAAATGAACTACCTGGAAGCCATGGAAATAAATAAACTTCAAAAATCCGATAAATACAATCTTCTCAATGACTAGTTAGACCTAAACCACTCCCCGCTGTTCAATCTCTGATAATTTGGAAACCCCCACCTCTGTGACAGAATTTAAGGTGCATTCTGTGGTCCAAACAGATCTGCAAAATATTTATAGGTTGTCTGTATTATGTATTCATTCTTGATAATGCTGTAAAAGGCGAAACTAGTCGAAAAAAGAATTGTTCAGTCAGTGATTTTTAGACAAGTTTTTATTATTTCCTCTCATTTAAATATGAACTATCACAGAGTAGATTCATCGTCCATTGAATTTATTATATTGAAATATATTCAAAATATCATTAGTTTTATAATAAAGATCAGATATAAAATGACTCAGATATGTAATAAGATCAATTAGTGACCTAACATGTATCAAATATTTAAATAGTAATTTTCCGAAAATTACAAGTTTAAGGGACTTGGGAAAGGAGAATCGATTCCAAGCAATTTGAATTTTCCATGAATTTTCGTAGTACCGAGTTATCGATGGAATTGGAGCACCAATTATTCAATTTTCCGCAATCAAACGAGCGGCGCTCCCGTTATTGCTTCGACGTTAACTTGATGGCACTGCCACGGAATGCACATCAGATGATTGAAACCTGCAATTTCATCCGGGTCTGAAACTCTGCAATTTTGATCTATTGTGTTGTAAATATTTCACAATTATACAGAATGACATCGGTTATTGCTTGTCGACACACTATTCGAATATTTGTGATGTTTATACTCATCGTTTCGTTCTGACTTTTGGATAGAGGAAATTCAATATTTTTTATTGGTGATGTTAATGAATCCTGGAATTTTGCGTTACAAGTGAATTGTATTTTTTTTGTTAACAGTACTCAAATGATCAAGATATGCATTCACTTCGTCTACACCATATTTCCATGGCAATTTTTTCTGAAAAATATGGATGAGATTTTGTGTAACGTCAATATCAAGGAAAATACAGAAAATCCGTTTCACAAGGAATAAAACTGCAGAAGCAATATTCCATAATCTATAGATAGATTGATGAATGGTCGATGATTTCAAGAAACCCAAGTCAAAGAAACCCTCAAAATATGGTTCCATCAAGATATGATTAGATATATTTGAGGAGCAACTGAAGAAAATAAAAACTTTCAAAAAGCCCATTAGAAATAAAATTTATGGATATCAATATAAAGAATTTTTCATTTCAGTCGAACATTTCCAATATATTCTGGACATCATATTCACCACCAGCACAATATTGGTTCATTGAGTAAAAACTTGTAAATTTAATCCCAGGTAATTTCCTAACATGTAATAGTAAAGACTGAATCCTTTTTTGTCTGGGTTGTTAGTCGAAATTGTTCTATTGACGAATATATATTTACCGTTTCCCTTTCATTCCATTCTTAGAACAATGCGTGAAAAATTTTTCTGAGGCAAAAAGTTCTATTGACTTCACATGTATATATATATATATATATATATATATATATATATATATATATATATATATATATGAATAACTTTTTTTTCGTGTTTCCATCTCCAGGTTCATACACCTTGAACTTGGCAACGCCATTCTGAGGAGAGCCAATAAGCTCGAAACACGTGTCAACGGCTGCTACCAATTGCGGGATATGACGACAATGTTCACTTTCGTTTGAAATTTTCCCCGCATCGAATGTTTTTAATATATTGTATAATTACACGCCTAGAGGCATCCTTGAGTATAAATGGTCACCTCACGAGCGAAGTAGTGTTCTCAAATTTTCCAATCCGGAGAATAAAATAGCAGTGTCCTAAAATTTGTCGACTTCCTGTCGGAGACCTGGAGCGTCTGTTCTTTGTTGTTTTCATCTCCAGGTTCGTACAATTTGAACTTGGCTACGCCCTTCTGAGGAGAGCCAATAAGTTCGAAACATCTGTCAACTGCTGCTACCAATTGCGGGATATGCCGACAATATTCACTTTTGTTTATATATATATATATACATATATATATATATATATATATATATATATATATATATATATATATATATATATATATATATATATATATATATATTATATATATATATATATATATATATATATATATATATATATATATATATATATATATATATATATATATATATATATATATATATATATATATATATATATATATATATATATATATATATATATATATATAATACATATAATAACTATTGGATGACTTTTGTGTCATTCTTGTTGGTTTATTGACTTATGTCAGATGTAGGTTTCCTTTTTCTTCAACTTGTCTTGTAATTATTTAATTAACACCTCCTTTATATTTTTAGTATTCCTGACGAAGAACCGAATTGCGTTCGAAATATTGAATTGCTGACGATTAGTCGTTTGAACTAGTTCTGCCCACTTTTTGAGGATAACCAAAAAATATTTTCGAAAGTCATATATATATAATATATGTATTTTTTTTCATTATATTTTTTTCAGGCGAAATTTCGCTACAGATAGTTAGTTTTTTCCACTGAAAAGCAAAACTGATAACAAGAAATTAGTCAGTGTAATTTGGCTGATATATTCAAATACTTGAACTGATATAAAATATGAAGATAATACTTCGGAAACGCATTTTCTGAACCCGATTTCTCCTTCGACTGAAGAAAAATTATTCTTAATGAAAATAAATCAATATAAAACACTTGGCTTGAGTTTCACTAAATATGTTAACAACTCTACAATTTTCTGGTGGTATTTCCATTGCCAAGGATATACAAGAACAATACATATATTCTTATTATTCCAATATTTGGCTAACTACCCGAAACCTATGTACAATTACTAACATATTCAGTGAAACTTAAGACAAGTATATTAATTTCAATTTATTGTTTTTAACATAATATTTCACCAAGTGATAAGAAACACCTTTGTGTCATTTTTGGAAAATTTTTCATTTGAAAATTTCTACAAAGCTACAAATTTGTAGAGAAATGTTTCGCAAACCACTTTTTGATGAACGTCTTCTTGATTTAGAAAGGCAGGTTAATTGAGTTTGAGGAATTTAAAATATTATGACATGGGGTTATTGTAAATGGGGTTGAAATATAAATTATGCCAATTTAATTGTATCCGTATACATCGAGCTCATTCTTATTCGGTGAATTTTCAAATATATAGTCTTTTCAGAACCAATTTTTTGAATTTCCTATCAGTTACCATTAACAACAGAACAAATTAAAATGTTCATGTTCAATTTCCACAGATCTGCTTGAAACGATTCACTCATCATTCTGTTCGCTATCCACAATTACACCGAATTTCTTTCTAAAATTGTAACGTTTTACCACAATTTTGTCTATACATTCTTCGATTAAAAATCGAAGTAGATAATTTTGATTCCCGCAAGGAGCAAATTAATGTTTTGGAATTATGCAATTTTCCATATTTAGGTAAAGAATATAGAAAGAGTTTTGAGAAATAATTGTGAGTATTTCTTCAACTATTTCGAATACTTTTTCATGAACGCATAATACCGCTAGTTATTTTTGGCACTAATTGTGATGAAATACATTAGATGATCGAATTCGATTACATCGATTATATTATTAAAAGATGAATTCCACAAATATTCCATCAAGTTATAAAAATGAGTGGATAAGTTCACGCTCTATTATTTTGAATACAAAAGTAGAATATAGAGAAAACACTTTTTCTTCCAGAAAGCTTCATATAGAATTAGGAAAAAGTTTGGATATGTAGACATATGTGTAGACTTCTCCATATCTGGGGAAGTTTCCTGAGTTGGCGTCCT